ATTAATTACATACTCTTCTGATATTACACAAAGAAAGTGAAGGCAGTAGGATTTGGCTACAGATGAAGAGAGGTGTCAATAAGGTCTGAGTTGTCAAAACTTTTTGCAGAAGCACTTGCTGCGGCAGCAGGCGCTTTTGTGTTGTTGAGCCATGAGTTTGTGGAATATGGCTGCAAATTAAGCCCGAGAGAGAGTGAGTGATCTGGAGGAGCACTTGGCCTAACCGGAACGACGATATCGGATTCGAATGAGAACTTTGCAGGCTGATGATCAAAATGCCTTGTTGTACAAACAACCCGTTGGTGATCAGTCTCTGATAACTTCTTCAGAAGCTGCTGCTCCTCCCTCCTCTCCTTCACTTTCTGCAGCTGCCTGAACCTTTCTTGCAGTAGAGCAATGGAGGAAACTGAAACCAAGGTTGGATCAGAAGCACTTTGCCTGCCCATTGAAAAGCAGCTTTTGCGCTTTTGATCTCTGAAGCTTTGTAGGTGAAGGGTTTGGTGTTTTTTTTTTTTTTTTTTTTGGTTTTGGCTATAATTGGTGCTGAAGGGCCAAAACGGAATGAATGTGTTTATATAGCAGATGGATTATATATATGAAAATTGAGTTTTTTTTTATTTAAATTTTAAGACTTTGGATGATGTAATATAAATAAGAATCGGCTGCTTTTCTGCAAAAATCCAATGGGAAAGGTTTAAGGTACTGGTCTAGGGAAGGCTGGGTTGGTGGAAGGGTAGGCAAAAGCACTTTTGGAAAAAGCTAGAGTGCAAGAAAATAGTCCAAAATGAAATGGAAGTAAGCATTTGGAAGGGAGTTTTGGAGAATCAACTGTTAGGTCATGCTTTGTGTCCTCTTGTCTTTTAAGACACTGTTGGCATCGATGACTCTGATTTTATCTCCAAGTTGCATTTGGGGAAAGATTGATTCTTTTTTGTACCTGCTTGTTTTAAAAATTCAGCATTTTAGATTTTTATTAGGGTCGCCATTAATATATGATTTAGTGTTATTACTCTTCACTTGTAAGTAAGAGAAACTCGATTTACTTGAATGACGAGTTTATACTTATTATAGATGACTCATTGTGTGGAGTATTCTCCAAATTATACTGATACTACTGTATAGTGACATTCATTTAAAGAAATCTTGAGTTGACTCATTTAGATGACAAATTTGATACTAAGTTATTTTGGCTGACTCATTACGTGGGTTATTTCCCGAATGTCTACCCCTTAAAATATAATTTCGTTTCATAAAAAAAATGTTTTTGGTGGGGTTTTGAAGGTGAAGTTCATGGAATGAAGATGGGGATGTATATAAAAGACAATGATTAGAAGGAATATATATATTTGGAGTCATGGTGTTTTTGATGGGGACACATTTCATGCACTTTGTATATGCAGATGAGGAGGGCTGGCATTCACTAAATAATTAACAAAGTTCTAAATCAAGGTTTACATTTCTGTTTGTCTTTTACATTCATGGTCAAATATTTCACCGAAATTGAAAGAAGTAATTTGGTCGGTGAAGAGATTTTTTAGTGCATCGGTAACATGATTTGGTACACCTTGTGTAGTAATACAATTAGTTTGAAACTTAAAAAAGAATTTTCAACCAATATAGTATGACACTTAGTGTCGGGCCATGTTCCCGGTACAACAAAAATTTTCTCTAGTTAGTGTTATAATATTAATCACATTCTTGCTTCTTTATAGAGTCCATAAGACTACGAGACCATATGGGTCATAAGTTCGGATTTATACAATCTTATATTTATCTTTCTCAACGCATAATTGGTTGTGTTTATCTCTCTTATTATGTGACTAATCACGTGATGAAGAGATTATTCAAAAAAAAAAAATCACGTGATGAAGAGTATGTTTAAACTAAACTTAAATATAAACACGTAATTGTATAAAACAGGTGACACCCAAAAATCTCTCGAGATATGGGTATGTTTGAAGAGGATATGAAAATCAGGAAAGTCTCGCTTCTAGCATTTATCCTTGCTAGATTTGGCGGAATCTGGAGAATTTGAATTGTAAAAACACTGGCAGGTGGCATGTGACAGAGAAAAAAGGTACTAAATATACTATTTGGTCCAACACCAAAACTCACCAAACAGGTACTAAAAGTGATAATTTCCCTCTTTTACTATTGCTATACGTTTTTGTTTAACCATATTTGTTGTTTATATTTGATTTATTCAGTCCAATAATTAGAAATAAGAATGGTGTGTAAGAGAAAAATGATGTGCGATTATCATATTTCTGATTTAAACTAAACTGCGAGAAAGAAGATTTGAACTTGAATGTAGATAATAAAGCACACTACTTTAGCCAACTTGACTACGCTCCAATTTGCAAAGATTATAATAGGTTCGATTGTATAGTTTCAAAAGGAAAAAACTAAGTTGAGAGATGCTTGTGTTGTAGGAAATGATAAGAATAGTGTAGTGTGGGTGGTTATGTTGCTTGGGATTGAAGGTTTGGTAATGCATGGAATAATTGAGATTGAAAAGATCCAAGTCATATAAATGGAGGACATGTGGGGGTCCAAAGCCAACGCAAACCTCAGGGATTTTGATTTCTGTGAAGAATCAACTTTTGCCATAGAGTGGATGCCCTTCTTTGTTTTCTTCCCTTGAAACAACCAAGCACTTGAACCCAAAATTTAACTAATCATTATTATTCTTCGTTTTGAGAAACTTTTTAATGTGTTTGGAACATAAACAGTACGTCGTATGTTCTTAAACAAGTGGAGGGAAGTTATTTTTTCAAGTGTTCCTCCACTTGTATAATGATATATGATGTATGTATCTATGTTTCAGACATTCTAAAAAATCTATCCTTTCTTTTATTGAGAAAAAAATTAATTCAAGTATATCACAATTCTTTCATGAAAGATGGGTTTCTTAAATTAATGACATGTTTATTTACAAGGAATTTGAATTATTTTGATTTTGAGTAAAATATAAATATTGAAATTATATACTATTTGGTCCAGCACCAAAACTAACCAAACATGTGGAATATAAAGCTTCTATTATTGTGAAAAATAATAGGTTTTTAATTCAAGTGATATTTTAACTTAATTTAAGAAAAGTGATAATTTCACTCTTTTACTATCGCTATATGTTTTTGTTTAACCATATTTTTTGTTTATGTTTAATTTATTCAGTCTAATAATTAGAAATAAGAATAGTGTGTATAAGGAGAAAAATGATATACGGTTATTATCTTTCTGATTTAAACTAAAATGCAAGAAGAATATTTGAACTTAAATGTAGATAATAAAACACACTGCTTTAACTAACTTGATTGCGCTCTGTGTTTGGAAAGATTGTAATAGGTTTGATTGTGTAGTTTCAAAAGGAAATGATAAGAATAGTGTAGCGTGGGTGGTTATGTTGCTTTGGGATTGAATGTTTGGTAATGTATGGAATAATTGAGATTGAGAAGACCAAGTCTAATAAACGGAGGACATGTCGGGGTCCAAAGCCAAAGCAAACCTCAGGGATTTTGATTTCTGTGAAGAATCAACTTTTGCCATAGAGTGGATGCCCTTCTTTGTTTTCTTCCCTTGAAACAACCAAGCACTTGAACCCAAAAACTAACTAATCATTATTATTCTTCGTTTTGAGAAACTTTTCAATGTGTCTGAAACACATACAGTACGTCATATATTCTTATACAAATGGAGATAAGTTTTTTTTTCTTTCTTAAGTATCCCTCCACTTGTACAATGACATGATATATGTGCCTGTGTTCCGGACACCATAAAAAATTTATCCTTCCTTTTATTGAAAAGAAAAAGTAATTCACGTGTACCACAATTCTTTCATGAAAGATGGTGTTCTTAAAGTAACGACACATTTATTTACTTGAAATTTAAATTATTCTGATTTTGAGTAAAATATAGATATTGAAATTATATACGTTTACTATTTACTGATACATACAACACAAAATACAAAAAAATATGTTATGTGGTTGTCACACTACAATCCAAAATGTAATACTTAAAAGACTAGGAATCAATTTATTATGTGATATTAGAGGAGTATTTTTATTCACCATCATCAATTGATGGCGATGCTCACAGCCCTATTTATTATCGTTGAACAAGTTTAAATTTTGAGATCCGTGTAGCAGATAGATACAAAACTCAAAATTTAAACTAATCAAACAATAATAAGTAGAGTAGTGAACATTATCACCATTTGAAAGTGGTGAACAAAAATACACCCATATTCCAGATATTGATATACATCTCATAAAATGAATCACAAAAAAGTAGAAACTCACATCTCTTAATTACAAATGCAACTGAATAGATCATGGTTTCTTGTTGAGATGGGCTACCAAGCAGTAATTTCAACCACCCTGGTTTCTTCTTCTTGTTTTGAGCTATTTTCCTCTCCTTCTTGTTCCTTTTGGTGCAATCCATAACTCCAACTATCTCCCTCTAAACTAACTAATTTTTTTTATAAGTGATATTCCAACTCTAAACTAGATTAAGGAGAGAGGAGAGGCTCTGAACCCAGCACGCAGTGAGTTGAAGAGAAATGGCATAATCTCCAAGACAATCCAACACTTGCTAATGGCTCGTTTGAAAAAGCTTTTAAAATGATTGAAAACACTTTTGATAAAAATGTTTTAGAAACCAATCCTTGGTAAAAATTCAAGTGGATCCTGTAAAAGCACTTTAAGTGCTTCTTGCAGGAAGCACATATTTGGTGCTTCTTTCAAAAAGCACTTAAAATGCTTTTGAAATCCAAAACCAATTTTACCAAAAGGCTTTCCGTCATTTTAAAAGAACTTCCAAGTGAGCCTATGACTGAGTCATCATAACTCCATTCCTTCAAGATATTAGTTCCGAGCTAGGCATATGTCAATTTTGGAGGAAGGATGATGAGAACTTATAGAACTTAATTTTCAGAGAAGGAGCTTGCCTGAACTTCAATAGAGGGGTTGGGAAGAAACTGAAAAATTCATTCCAAATTGGAAAATAGCAATCAGATTGCTGACACTTGATTCTGATTTCAGCCACTGCAGATTCAATTAGACTTTTACAAACTGTTTCTCAGTTGCATGATACGATTGGCAACTCGGATTGAACCGTAGTACATTTGGGAACCAAAGTCGCCTAGTACAAGGCCGAAAGTACAAGGCTCAGCCTCCGAGCCATTTGTAGGAGTGGGGCGGGTTTCTGCCTCATATAGCTGGTGCCGGAGACTGGGGGAAGTTTAGGAGAGATGAGGAGACCCAGCAGCTGCATAACCTTCCCATCCTCGCATCAAACATAAGATGCCGGAAATTCTTCCACAACCGCCAGAAGTAGGAGGGAGGTAGCAGCTAATTCTTCCACTATACAAAATGATGGAATTACAAGAAATTCTTTAAGGACAGTACTATGAAATACCAATCCACAAGGTAACTATGAGTTACAAAAAATCTCACGAAAAATGACTGCCGGGAAGGAAACACCAAAAAAGAAAATCCCTTTTACGGTTCTTTTTTATATTTTGTCGGAATCCACAATATAGTTCATACCAATAAAATCAAAGGAAATACCAGGCAAAGGATCAGCAAAACACAACCGATGGGGACAATAAAGCTTATTTCGTCCCTTATCAGAACCAAAATCAAGGAGTAAAAGATGAAAGGAAACGCTCAAGAACAAATATTTACAGTGCAATTATCGTTTGGGAAAACTAAAACATTGAAGCTACACGGAGTGACAAAGATTCAAGAGATCAATGATACAGAAAGTTATCACACACTAACATTTTAGCATACTAGCACGATTAGAGGAAAATTAAAAAAGTGTTTAACTGGAGCAAAATGGGCTCAATTTTAGAAGGACCTGAGTAATCCCTACACTAAATATTCCTAATCATATTAAAATGGTTAGGTCAAATTTAAATGATCATTTATCCTGGAAGTTTGAACCAGAGACATTATTTACGTTAGGTAAAATCGGGTGGCACCTATAGATAACTTCTTGTTGATAATTCAGAAATAAAATGGTTCCACTCGCAGACCGTCCAAGTGATGATCCAAGGGATCATTTGGTTAGGTTTTTGCTTTAAGTTTCTTTTTATTTTTCTTATGATAAGAAGAGAGAACGAAAATAAAGTGGAGAGAAAGATAAAGGAAAAGATATCGAATGAGTTTTTAAAATAAAAAATAAACTATAACAGAAAACCAAAATGTCACTGAAAGGGCCTCAACGTATGTTATTGTAAAACTGAGGTATAAATGTAAACGACTGTTGGTGTATGATGTTACGGCAGCAAAATAATGCAACATTGGTATCAAACAAGGTGTACCTTAACATCTTCTTGCCCAATATTTCTGAAGAAAGAGGAAACTTTCGACCATGGAACATTGAAACTGCACCACCTGCAAGTACATATGCCAAGAATGTCTAGCTCTGAAATCCATTTTATAAACACCATGACAGCATGAATATTTTCTAGGCATGTCAAACCAGCCAAATGAGCACTGTTAAAAAGATATCAAGATAATCCATGTAATTAGGAAGCCTGCTATGCAGAAATACTCTAAACCCTAAACCAACTAACGCACTATACAGATGGTAAATCAATCATACCTATCCACACAAAAAGAGAAACTAAAATAAATGGTAGATATCTTTCATGAATACTTTAGCTTGACTAACCTATATGTCTTCCTAAGGAATCTGCTTCATGCAGACGAGAATTCAGTTTATCTTCTGAAAATGACTTGTCACTTCTACATATATAGAATAACAAAGCAATCGTCAAACTTATTTTTTTGGTGATTTTAGACAAACGATGCCACCAACCAAGCACCAAAAAATGTAATAGAAATCAACGAATGCTAATGAAGTTGAAGGCAAAGTGCCACCTACTTACCATGAATTGCATGGTCAAGCTGCAAAGTAGTCACAACATAGGAATATATACACCTCAAGCCAAAAACAGTGCCATTTCTCATTAGTTGATAAATGAATCTAGATAATGAATTTTCTTTGCCTCCATGTGTATAAAGAAACCATGATCAATGTACATCCTTCAAATCTTTGTTAACAATTTGAGAAGTCACCACAGTATCGTTTATTTTAGAAAGTTCTCTGGCCAAAATAATATACGTCTGGGTACTGATACTGCATTTTTCAGATTCAATAACATGAAGAAACTTCATGCATAAATCTGAATTCCCTTCCTTCAGTAAGCCATCAATTAACACAGTCCAAACAATCTCATCAGTATTCCATTGTTTCTCTAGCATCCTTCTGAATAATGTTTCAGCTTCTTCCACTCGACTCACCCTGCAGAGGACACTAATAAGTGCCTTATAAGATGATAAGTGAACCTCAAATCCTCTATCTGCCATCAAACCAAAAATTTCCAGCGCAGAATCCACTTTCAAATTTGTACAATAAACAAAGAATAGAGACAGATAAATCTTATTAGTGGGGCAGAACCCTTTATCTTTCATATGCTGCAGCAACTGATCCGCCTCATAATATCTGCCATCTCTGCACAAGCCTCTCACTAAAATATCATAGGTATGAACAGTTGGTTCACATCCATACTCTGACATCCTAGCTAAGAGATTACACAACACCTCAAAAAAGGTATAGCTCTCATCAGAGCTGCAACTATACGTTTCTTCATGTTGGGACTCAAGGCCCACAACATTCTCTGTCAGCAACTGGCTTTCCCTTTGCAACCCCTTGACCAACACAGAATAAGTTCGGTAGTTGGGCTTGCAGCCAACATCAACCATTCGCCTAAGGAGTAGAAACGCATGATCTAGCTTGCCAAGCATAACAAATCCATCAATGAGTGTGGTATATGTTACCTCATCAGGAACCAATCCTTTCCTCTCCATTTCTTTAAGTAACCTCTCAGCATCATCAGCCTTACCCTCACGACATAACCCAAAAATGAGTGAACTATATGTATACAAGTTCGGCAAGCAACCCTGCTTTCCCATTTCATGGTAGATTTGGAATGCAACGTCAGTACTGCCATTCCCACAGAGGCACCTAATTAGAGATGTGTACGTAATGACATTTGGAGCCGGTCCTTGCTCCCCCATCTTCGTACATAATTTTTTAGCTTTTTCAATCTGATTATCATTGCACAAACCACTTATAATGGTATTGTAGGTTTCAATACCCGGACAGCAACCATCCTCCTCCATCCGCTCAAATAATGCCAATGCAGCATCTACCTTCCCCTCCGCACAATATCCAGCAATCAAAGCAGTGTAAGTGACCTGATTGGGAAGAATGCCTTGTTCTACCATCTCATGGAAAATAGTGGATGCATCTTCAGACTTACCCGCCTTGCATAACCCAGAAATAAGTTCAGTATAAGTCCATTCATCTGGTTCACATCCACTCCATTTCATCAAATCCAATAACCTCACTGCATTGTTTAATTTACCCCCATCAAGGTATGCATTGATAAGTGTGTTATAAGTTATCACATTTGGAGAGGGTCCCACTTTCAGCATTTTGCTTAAAAGCGTCATTGCCTTATTAATGTTACCCATCAAACAGAAAACCTTGATGATTCCGTTGTGTGTTTGGGTATTTGATACGGTACCATGTCTTTCCATCCAATAAAAAATCTTCAGAGCCATGCCATATCTTCCTGTCTCACATAATTCATTTATCAATGTATTGAAGGTAACCGTGTTTGGGACCAAACCGTCCTTCACAAGTTTGTGATAGAGTCCAACAGCAACATTGAGTTTTCCTATCTGAGATAACCCGCTGATCAATGCTGTATAAGTATGAACGTTAGGATGGCAACCCCTGCTCCTCATACTTCTGAAAAGCCCAATTGCTTCCACCAGTCGATTGGCCTCACATAGTGAAGTAATTGGGACAGTGTAAGTAAATACTGTGGGTTCAATCCCTTTCTCTACCATTTCATCAAGCATATCCAGTGCCTCATCCACCCTTCCCTCATTGCATAGCCCATTGATAAGAGTTGAATACGTAACCGAATTGGGGTCACAACCTGCCTTCACCATCTGATCATAAACGTCAAATGCCAAATTCACCTTACGATTTCTACAATGCCCAAGAATCAACGATGTATAAGTAAAAACATCTGGGAACATATCGAACTGAAAAATCCGGCTAAAAATCACCTCTGCTTCCTGAACCCTGCCCTTCTTACACAATATATTGATCATTGTATTAAATGTCAACAAACTTGGTCTAATCCCACTATTAAGCATCTGAGTATAAACATTTCGAGCTACACTAACCATCTCGAACTTTCCCAATTGTATCAAAAGTGTATTAAAACTAAACAATGTGAACTGAAAACCAAGTCCATTCAAATCATTCAAATACTCAATTACCCATTTGAGCTCTTCCTCCTTCCTACAAGCTTTGATCATCAAAATCCTCACACGGTCTGCAGGCGCAAAAAGCCGCTCCCTCACAAGCCGATTAAGCATTGACGAGAAGCAGCCCATATCGTGTTTGTAAAAATGCTTCTTAGAAACCCAGTAGAAGAATCTCAACGCTGAGTCAGTGTTACGGTGGGACTCGATGATCTTCGACACGTGATGGGTTCTGAGCTCGGGTCCGAGCCAGTTGAGCTCCGAGCTCCGTTCCCATTGGGGGTCGCTCAAAATGTCGCAGATTCTGGCGACCAAGTCCTGGAAAGGTTTGGAGGGTTGAGCGGGTTCGGAGAAAAGCCTGGTTCTTGTTGAGAATTTGAGAAAATGGTCGGAACCCAATAGAGAGCGGAGGGTATGGACGTGGAGGGTTTGGAGGGGCTTTAACATTTCGAGCTATGGGGAGGTCATGTGGGATTGCAGAAGAAGAAGATGGTAAAGTTTGGGACTTTTGCGGGTTTTCAGAGATCTGGGGATTGAAGGGGGTTGATTGGTAGGGGGGAAGCGTGAGTCGACTCGGCGAGTTGGTGAACGTGGTCATTGGAGAGCCATAGCTAGCTGCTTACTGGAGGTGGAGGGAAGTGGAGAGACAGGTTACACTGTTGAATAAAAACTAGGGTTATTTCACTCGGAGACGGAAAAAGAGGGAAATTTAACCGCAAGGCCAAATTGCAGTAATAGTTCCATAGTTTACATGAACTTTCACTTTCATCCCTATAATACAAATTCTTACATTTTCATCTTTGTTGATTTGATCTATTTTGACCTTAGTTTGGCCCCGCTAATTAAATTAGGTTTTGGGTCTAAGTTTGTGCACATCTTCTCATTTAAAAAAAAAAAAAATTATCATTTGACAAATTGGTGTATGATGATGTCGAAGTTGAAAAATATAAAAGTCTAGCATATAACAACTTATTATGAGTGATTATTTTTCTTGAATATTAAAAATGAAAAACAGATAAATGACAAAAAACATTGTCGAAAATATTTGAGTCCCTCAATTCTCTAATAGGTAGTCTTGTAATCATGTATAGTAACTCTAGACATTATCTTCACTTGCTACTAATGAGAGAACGGAAGGAGTGTACCTGCGAAAGACACTCTAACACTCAAGTTAGTGAGTGTTTGAGATGATTGTCATAAGATTTAGAATAATTGGTACCTTTTCCCATTTAGTTGTTGAGTTACCTTTACATTTGAAGTATTGAGCTTCAAGTTCATGTTCGTTAATTTTCTTTATAATCCACTAATAACTCTTATCATAAACACAATGTGATCGCATAACAAATTATTGACTTGATCGTAGCTCCACTTCCCTATAGAATGCACATTCCTTATTTGGTTGAGGAGTAAAATATGCTTCCATGTTCCTTAACCCACAAACACTAAATCCATCATGAGTAGGTAGCAATTAACAAAAGAAAAGAAAAAACAAGGCATTTGATGGATTTGACCAACGGTGTTAACTCAACGAAATTACAGAGGATGAATATGTAAGAAAAAAAACTACAAGGAAGAAATTAAAAACCGAGATAAACTACAGGACTATTAGTGCAATTTAGTTGTGGATATAGATGGGCCGCTCAGACGGTTAGACCCCTTGGTTGTGGTTATCATCTGATCCACCAACGCCATTGCAGGTTGCAGCAATGCTTCAGCTCACACCATCTCTCTCTCTCCTCCACAAACCATTTCTCTCTCCTCAAACCCTAAACCCCTTCCGGCTTCTCCAAACATGCAAAACCCTACAAGAAGCAGAGCAGCACCACGCCCTGTTTCTCAAGACCGGAACTTTCAGCCACCCTTCAGTCGCTTCCTGCTTCCTTTCTCTCTACGCCGACCCCAAAATCAACAGCCTCGACTACGCCCGCTCCGTCTTCGACCAAATCGAACAACCCACGTTGGTGTCTTGGAACGTTCTCATCAAATGCTACGTCGGAAACCAGCGGTCGCATGATGCCGTTGTTTTGTTCTATGAATTGGTTCATGAGCTTGTTCCCGATAATTTCACTGTGCCGTGCGTGATTAAGGGTTGCGCTCGGTTGAATGCGATTGAGGAAGGGAAGCAGATTCATGGGTTGGTGTTGAAAATTGGGCTTGGGTTGGATAAGTTTGTGCAGAGCAGTTTGGTGAGTTTGTACTCAAAATGTGGTGAGATTGGTTTGGCTCGGAAGGTGTTTGATGAAATGCGTGACCGAGATTTGGTAACTTGGAATTCGTTGGTGGATGGGTATGCGAGGTGTGGAGAAGTTGAAGTGGCAATGGAGTTGTTTGATCAAATGCAGGAGAGGGATTTGTTTTCTTGGACTGTTTTGGTCGATGGGTTGTCGAAATGCGGGAAGGTGGAGATGGCTAGGGAGGTGTTTGATAGGATGCCGAATAGAAATTCGGTTTCTTGGAATGCCATGATTAATGGGTACATGAAAGCTGGAGACTTTGAGACGGCTCGTCAATTATTTAGTGGGATGCCGGCAAGAGATGTGATAACTTGGAATTCAATGATTGCGGGTTATGAATTTAATGGGAGGTTTATGGAAGCATTGGAGTTGTTTCATGAAATTTTGAAAGAAGATGTCATGCCTAGTCATGCTACATTGGTCAGTGCTCTTTCGGCCGTTTCGGGATTAGCTATCCTGGGTAAGGGGAGATGGATTCATTCTTTCATGGTAAAACATGGATTTGAGTTAGATGGCGTGCTTGGTACATCCTTGATTGATATGTATTCCAAGTGTGGGAGCATTGAGAATGCTCTGACCGTATTTCGAGCTATACACAGGAAGAAATTGGGGCACTGGACTTCTATAATTGTTGGTTTAGGAATGCATGGTATGGCTGACCAAGTTCTTGAGCTATTTCTCGAGATGCGGAAGAATGGAATGCAGCCTCATGCTATAACTTTTATTGGAGTCTTGAATGCATGTAGTCATGCGGGATTGGTCGATCTTGGCCGTTTCTATTTCAATCTGATGACAAATGATTATGGAATTGAACCCACAATTGAACACTACGGTTGCTTTGTAGACATTTTATGTCGGGCTGGCTGTCTGGATGAGGCGAAGAATGTCATTGAAAGTATGCCCATGAAACCAAACAAAGTAATCTGGATGAGTTTGCTCAGTGGTGCTCGGAATCATGGAAATGTTGAACTTGGCGATTATGCTGCTCGTCACCTGATTGAAGTGTCTCCCGACACTATTGGATGCTATGTTGTTCTTTCTAACATGTATGCTGCAGCTGATCAGTGGGAGAAAGTTTCACAGGTAAGAGAAATGATGAGAACGAGAGGAGTCAAAAAGGACCCGGGATGCAGTTCCATAGAGCACAGAGGTGTGCTTCATGAGTTTGTTGTGGGTGATAAATCACATCCTCGGACAGAAGAGATATATTCGAAGTTGAGTGAGATGAGAGAGAAACTGAAATCTGTAGGACATGTTCCTGACACAAGCCAAGTTCTGTTGTGTCTTGAAGAGGAAAAAGAGAAGGAAGCTGAACTGGAAAACCATAGTGAAAGATTGGCTATTGCATTTGGTCTCATTAATTCGGAAGCTGGGAGTCCTATTCGCATTATAAAGAATCTTCGTGTCTGTAGCGATTGCCACTCTGTCACTAAACACCTATCCAGTATCTATAATCGTGAGATTATTGTGAGAGATAATAGTCGTTTCCATCATTTCAGAAATGGCTCATGTTCTTGCAAAGATTTTTGGTGACTGACTTGTTTGTCTGCTGCATTGACGGCTGTGTTCAGCTGCTCACAGCCTCAAAGCAAGAAGCATCAGAATTCATCTACCTCTATGCTTGCGCTCTTAAAATTGGAGCAGCTATTGGTATCATTTCTTCTGATTCAGGCATATTTTTACATGTTCATTTGATGTATTTTAGCATTATAGGCAGTCATGAATGTGCGTCTTCATTTAATGATGAGACTCGTCCCTCGCAAAAGCTGCCCCTCTTGTAACAGGGATATGACTCATAGGTCCTGCTTTCCCAAAATTCTGCATTGGCGGGAGACTCGCACTAACAAGATAGGGGATCTTCATTATACAGAGTCTGAGTTTATAATGAGAGATAATAGTTGTTCCCATCATTTCTTTCACCCTCCATAGGAGAAAGGCATGTATACTAGGTGCCCTTAGTATTAGAGGCAATCTTCATCGTATACTGATTACCCCTCTAGTAAATGTAAACTTATACCGACAGATAATGTCAAAATTCTGATTTTTCTCAAATTGACTTTTTCATACATTCTCTTTGTGCTTTGATTGAACACAAAATTTTTCTACTTTCCCCAACCTAAGATGAAGAAACCTATGCCTGCACTCTTAAATTGGAATGGCCATTGTTGTCAGTTCTTTTGATTGTGGGAACTTCTTGTGTGTTTATTTAATATATAGCAGTACAGGCAGTCTTGATGCGTGCCCGGATGCTGAAACTCTTGAAATTAGAATGCAAATGCAGTCCCTGTATTGGCGAGAGACTTGTGCATCCCTTAGATATATGGGCAGTCTACGTTATGCTGACATTATAGTGAAAGGTAATAGCCATTCCCATCGTGCAATCTTCATTATACTGAGATAATAGTGAAAGATGATCGCTCTTCCCATGATTTCTTTCACCCTAAGTTGACAGAATTCGTATACTTAGTGTCCATATAGATATAGTGTAGGCAATCATCATTGCAGAAATTTTATGCCCCAATTAAACTTAATTTGCCTAATGGTGATGGATTGATGAAGAAACCTGAGATCAATCTATGATCTTATGGTTTCAGCATTGACTGTCTCTTGTATTTCGCTAGTTCGAAGTATCCTCCATTTGTTTCCTAGTTTAGATTTACTATACTGCCACAAAGCATGCATCTATTGATAGGAATTCTTGAATGTGCAGCACAATTAGACAAATAAAACGAAGGAGCTTGGAGTTTTTTACTGGATACACCGATTTCAGTACAAGCAGTTTCTAGTAAAATTACATCAGAACTAATGGAGTCCACAACAAGAGAACCTCAACAAAAGCAGTAAGTTCGGGTAATGTTACAGATGAACTGCCATCATTTGAGGTTTCTTCACTTTCCAGGGACGAAGTTGGTGGCGTAAGCCCATGCGTTGTTGGCCACTGGGTCAGCGATGTGGTCGAAGAGGTTCTCCACCGGGCCCTTTCCAGTTACAATAGCCTGAACAAAGAATCCGAACATTGAGGTCATAGCCAGACGCCCGTTCTTAAGTTCCTTCACCTTCAGTTCAGCAAAAGCTTCGGGATCATCAGCAAGTCCAAGGGGGTCAAAGGCCCCTCCTGGGTAAAGTGGGTCTAGTCCTTCACCGAGTGGTCCTCCACCAACTCTGTATCCCTCGATGAATCCCATGAGCACGACCTGGACAGCCCAGATTGCCAAGATGCTCTGAGCATGGATAAGGTTTGGGTTGCCAAGGTAGTCAAGGCCGCCCTCAGAGAAGATTTGCGATCCAGCCTTGAACCAGACAGCCTCGCCGAACTTGACGCCATTCCTTGACAAGATTTCTGGGAAGACGCATCCCAGTGCACCAAGCATGGCCCATCTGGAGTGGATCACCTCAAGCTCACGGTTCTTGGCAAATGTCTCGGGGTCTGCAGATAGTCCAGCAGTGTCCCATCCGTAGTCTCCGGGGAATTCGCCGGTCAAGTATGACGGAGTTTGCTCTGAGAATGGTCCCAAGTACTTCGGGCGGTCTGGGCCGTACCTGTTTTGTCGGTTACAAATGTAAACTTCTCGATGTTATATGATCATGTTCTTCTTGTAACAATGTAGCTATACATTGAGCTAAAATTTATGGTGTATATCATAAGCATGTCCGCTCATAAGCGTTTATGTTAGAAGTGTTTTTATTATAAACATGTACAAGTCTTTGTTTAAAATCCAAGTGCTTCCTATGAAGCACATAGCAGGTACTTCTCAAAAAAGCGCTTCTACAACCCCAAATTGTTTGTAAGTTTTTATGTCAAATGTCGTTAGAAAACGTTTGATTATCAGAAAGCGTTCATATCCGCACATGGAAATTTTAGTAGAGTTGCTTGGAAAGAAAGATAGGTTATGCTGACATGCTAGAGCCAAGGTACTTACCATATGCTCTGGGGGGCACTTTTGACGGTGCGCCGCATGGAGAAGCGGCCGCCGCCAAGGCCGCCGATCTTTCGGACGAGCTCATTGGACTGCTTCAAAGCAGTCTGGCCAGCAAACGCTGATTGTTGGATTGCAGAGGTTGCCATTGCTTGCTGCTTTTTTTGTGTTTGAAGTTTTGGTGGTGTTGAGCAAGCCTGCTGGGATGCTTTCATCTAGGGAGAGGGCAGGGATGTTATAACGGGGAGTTGAAGATGATGTGGATTAGGATATCCACACGTCAGCGGCATCCTATTGGTTATCAAATAGATTTGGATTTCCAATCTGATAGTCGCAGAGAGTGAGAGGTTCTCTCTTTGCCACGTGGCAGACAGATGCTGTGATGTTTGTGGTTGGTGAACAGAGGCCACAAGTTGACCAAAAGACAAATGTTTCGCAGGTCCACGGTTAAAACATAAAATTACCTTGGTGTTTTTGCAGGCTTGAGGTGAGTGGAATTTAACGGGAGGATGTGATCCACTTAAAAGCAATGTCGTAGGACTCTTCGAACTACCATTGGCTGCTGTGAAAGAGTTGTATTGCTGCAGTAGTTTTTGACAAAACAGTAAAAATAATAACGGGCCAGAAGTAGGTTGCAGTGGAAGAAGAGCATTCAAATTTACTTGACCTACGTAACTTAACTGGTTAAAAGCATTTACTTTAAATCTGTGGTCCTGTGTTCGAATTCACCCTCGCTAATATCGCTTGTATCGAAAATCAACATGTGATCCGATGAACAGCAACCAAACTAGTAAATTAGAAGGGACATGGGGGAGCAGCATGCGAAGAGAGTAAGAATTTGCCACACCATTGATATACAGAATCAACTATTACATTGCAGAGATGGCAGATACGAATGGCAATAAATAGCCTTACAAAGGAAACGGAAAATAAAGCAATGCAGCCCACGTACAAACAGCCCTAATTACGTGGTACACGAACACGACTAGAGATTAAAATCAACTAAATAACTTGTCCCTCAAGAATAGGGATTATTAACCAAACTTGAAGCAAACCCAAAAACAAGGAACCTAACCCGAACAGCTAGGAAATCCTAACAACTTCAACATTTAGTATTTGCAGATTAACGGATATACAGCGCGAGCGGAGAGATTTCTGGGCGGAAACAGTATGAAGATACAGACAAGATGAGGAGCAAACAAATGGGAACGTATAACCAGTTGGGAACGTATAATCTGCGCTGCAGATGTGAGAATCCAGCGTGTGAGCTCAACATCAGTGCCCGAGTTGTTCTTTGGAGGTGTGCTGAAAGGAATTTGAAGGCCCGAACAGAACCCCACGAAAGAGCTGCAAGAATGCAACAGATTAGCCACTGCAGTGCATTCAACCTCACACAGCTGGCTAGTCCTTTTCCGAACTCAACAATGATCACCTGGATGATCAAAACAGCCGCCAACGCCGTCAGAAACCAATGGCTGCGGAGGACAACAACTAGCACTTCCTTTTTTACTATGTCCATGGCACTGAACAGATTAAGGACCTGGCATAAGGTGAAAGTATTGAAAATCATGGTATTCCGGACACCTTCGTTCATGCTCGGTACTACATTTCCCATGAAATGTAAGATCAGCAAGACGGAAGCCTGATACAAGACTTGAACTGCTATGTTTCCCCAGATGACTTTGGTTATAAGCCACTCGGTCCTCTTAGCAGGTCTTTGAGTGTGTCGTTCGGTGCCTTGTAACTCCATCACCATCATTAGGCCACCAAGAAGGTACATGATCAAGTTCACCCAAATCAAGTGAACTGTTGTTAGTGGGGACTCTCCCGAATGTATTGTTATGACTAGGTTCACTAGTAGCCCGGATATGCAAGTGGTGAGTTGAAGTTGACAGAACTGCTGAATGTTGTGGTAAGCACAAGTACCAGACTTCATATTCATGCTTAAGAAACATCCATTTCTGATTATAAGATCAGCGTTCTCTCTGGCCATCTCGGTGCTCCAGAGATCCTCTACAATTCCGACATCAGCTTCTTTTAAGGTCAGAGCGTCAATGCTGGTTAGCCCTCCATAGAATCCAACTATGTGACCTTTTTTCTTTAACTGCTCCACCATAAGAAACTTGTCCTTGGGGAGGGAACTTCCCATCACAGAGATCGAATCCACCTTCTCCCGCCTTTCCATGGATTTGAGCCTTCGGAAATCTTGACCTTCAATTTCTGTGTAATCTGAGTCAGGGGAGATCCCAAGTTCCCTAGCTCTAGCTTTCACTTTCGAGAGCTCATCCTCCGACACCAGTTTGATCTTTACTCCAGCTTCTCTAAGAGCCTCCACCGCCAATTTAAGTTCTTCTTGATATGGACATCTAAGACCGACAAGTGCCAACAAAATCAAATCATCTTCTGTAGGATCTTCTTCTTTCGTTTTCTTGTATGCGTATGCAATCGGTCTAAGACCCTTCTTCTCCATCTTCTCGATCACCTGCTTGAATTTTCTCTTCTGGTATTCAATATGGAGACTTCCCCCTCTGTTATCATAGTAATGTGAACACATGCCTAATATTGTTGATGCTTCTCCGTCACAGTGAAGTTGCATAATCTGTTCATCATTCTCGATTTTCCTCAATACGACACCTCTATACTTCTCATTAGAGCTCCATTGTTTAACAATTTCAAATCTTCGATCCAATAACGCTTTACTTACCCGTCTGGTGTGCAGCCAGGAAATGAGCCGATCATTTTCTGGTGACGCGGTAGCTGAAATCCCCTGATGGAGAGCCTCAAGAACTCGGTCAGTTTCCAAGTCCACTTCACCACTGCTTAAATCTTTTTCGCCAATCCGAAATTCCTCGACCTCCGTCCGGTTGCACATTAAATCTGCCGTTGTTTCAATGCAGATGAAATTTATGAGTCCCATGGTGACACAAGCTGATAGATTCCGTGGATCTGCCTGATTTTTGGCAGCCTTGTCCTTCCATTGAAAAAGGGCAACTGTAATTACAACAGGTATCCCATGTTGTATCCCTATGACCACGGTTGCGAGAACGCTTGCTAAGATGGAAGCCTTTCCTTGAGGTTTCAAGAAGATCTTCTCAAAGATCCTCATCACAAAATTAATTGAAACTTCACCTTTCAGGTCTGGCCTCTCGTTGTAGTTTTCGTGCTTCTTGAAGAATAGTAGGCGTATCAACATCACGAGTGCAATCAGTATCGAGACACAGCATGCAAGAAAATCCATACAAGCATTCGGTTTGTCCAGCAAAGCTTGTAGCAGTGTCTTTTCCATTGGATTATGATTAGACACCAAGCTCAGCATCTCGGCCATAGCTGTATTAGCACCAACTGATGTCACAATCATGCGGCCACAGCCCTTAACGACCTTTGAACCCGAAAAAACAAATGGATTTTGCTTACAATCAATTTTCGGGCTCAATACCTCATCCAGAACCAGTTCCTCACCGTGATCTATGAACAAACCATCAGCAGGAACACAGTCTCCTTCCTTCAAAAGAACTATATCACCCGCCACAATGTCGGATATGGTAATCGGTGTAGGTTCTGTGCTACTTCTTTCAACATTCACCGTCAATTTGCTCCTATCCAGCAAGTGCTTCGCCAGCTTTCTCTGACGGAGGTAGTTCCCCACAGAACGGAAAGCAATAAGTAAGAACGCGGCAGTGAGTATGGCAACACCGTCATGCCAGCCATCCTTGACTCCTTGATTCATGAATTCGATGGTGAACGATAACCCAGCTGAGAGCAAGAGGAAAACAATCGTGTACTGATTGAACGCCTCAAACAAAAAGTACAAGAAACCCTTTGCATCAACAGGGGACTTGGTAATGTTCCATCCTTCTGGATTTTGACCACCATCAACGGCACCTTCCTGCGATCAAATACCCGAATATAATCAACTGAAGTACAATCATTCTCGACCATGTACAAGATTATAGAAAAAGTGGTCATTTTCTACGGGTTGCTTGCTACCTCAAAGTGAGACCTGAGAAGTTGGAAGATGCCATCAACACCACCATGTCCGCAGAGTGAGTTCAAGTCCTTCTCCCTCACTATTTCAGCAACCTCTTTCAAAAGCCGTTCCTGGATGTCAATCACATGGTCAGAGGCAGTGGCTGGCGGCGCTGGTGCTGGTGCTAAATGTTCATAACTAGCTTCAAGCAGACGTCTGGTTTTCTTAATGCGTGATGAGAACAAAATGCCTTTAACAACATATCTCAGCGAGGTTCTCCTGCGTCTGATGCTCTGCATAGTCAACCCGGCAGTAAGAGAGGCACCTTCAGCAGCTTGATCCTCTGTATTTATCTCGAGGGCCATGTTTCCTTGTGCAACAAGAAAATTAGAGAGATGATCAGACAAGAAATTGAGAAAATTTGATCTCTTGCCGCGGATTTGCAGCGAATGAGACGTTTAAGACAAGATTGGTAAGACTTTTTCCTCCATGTTAGATCTTGAGAAGATGAGTACGTACGAAATTAGACTCCTCCTAAACTGGTTGTGAGTAACGAGCATAGCTAGCTCGTAGTACTAGAACGAGATCATGACTGATACTGCTAGCAGGGACAAAAACTAACTACGAAATGATACTGAAAGCGATTTTAGAGAGAGGGGGTTTTGGAAACAGGACGTCGGGTGCAAGGGTAAGCGCTCTTAACAGCTCGAGCTACAATGACTATGACTGCAATGCAAAGTTAGCTAGTGATCAAAGAAGGGTGAGGACTTGTGCAGTTGTGAATGTGAAGAGAAGTGGAGGGTTTCAGTCTCATTATATAGGCGATGGCTCGGGTGAATTGACAGCAATACCCTCTCGCAAGGGAAGCTTCCAGGAGGCTAGACTCTATATTACCTGGAAAATTCATCTACTTGGTTGTTATAAACTTAATTTGATGTCATAGGGGGCTTACACACGTCTTTTTAATTTATTCTTATCTATGAAGCATGATACGATTACGGATATAATGATCAATATGACACAACACGATGATATTTAAAATCTCTAAAAACTAAATATGATATCTCATGGATGTAACAATAAAATTGTGTAATTTAAAACATATTTTAACATGAAGGCATCCAAATTCAAGTGTGAGTTATATCACTTGTTTCCATTAGAGGCGAACTCTAATTGAAACAAGATTGGTAAGACTCATTCCCCTATGTTAGATCATGTAAGTAATGAGCATAGCTAATAGGAGGATTATGTACGTCTCTCTTTTTTTTTTTTCTTTTTTTTTTCTTCTTCTTCTTATTCACGTTTTATAAGCAAAAAAATTTAACTCAAGTGGCTCAAAGTTTTGCCACTCAGCCACTCAGTACTACGATCTAGTAGTATTTCTTTGTAAATGAGAGGTAGAAAAAAAAAAGTGTTGCCACTCAATACTACAGCCGGTGGTATTTCTCTTCACTTAGATGTGAGAGATCTTAGGTTCAAATCTCGTGAATGACGAATTTGATATCAAATTAAGTTAGCTTAGCTGAACTCCTCTTTCCCTAAATATATCGATAAACTCAAAAAATAAAACAAAAAAAACCTAAAAGTGTTTATTATGTACCGAAAGTTTTTTAGCAAAAAAATGGTATCACATATAGAGATCCCTATTTCTTTATGTTCTTTATTTGGTGTTTTAGATCTAAGTCCAAAAATATAAGTTGTTTTTGAAACTGCGTCAAGTTATCTAATTACATATAATAAAAAATATATATGTAATACCATTAATCTGTCAATTTTGTCTTTTTAGATGAAAATTTTAAATTCACTAGTTTCTGTGATATATTATAAAAAGAAAAAAAAATGCAATACAATGAATCTGTGCTATAGGTAGATTATGAACAAAAACCTATGACATATAGATTAATACAATTAATCAGTGATAAAGATTGATTATATAAAAAAAAAAAATTATAAATGGGATTTGGAACAGAAGAACAAAAAATAACAAAAAAAAAAGGAAATAATTAAAGAGATAATTAAAAGAAAATAATTTTTATAATAAATCTTATCAATAAATAGATAATAAAATGATCCTAAATTTAAGAGATTGGACTTATTTTAGGAAGGATAGATAGAATCGTGTATGTTTTTTATTTTTTGCCGTAAACAATATGACGGGAGTAGCGGTGGTTGCGCCTACGGCTGTTTCGGGTAGGGATCCGAACCGAAAATGGAATCCCGAATCCCGAATCCCGAACCCAGAAAGGACGGAATTTTAAAGATCGAAATCAAACCGAAATTTCGAGATTCCCGAAACTTTGTCGGGATTTCGGTACGGTTCGGGATATTCTACAATAATTCAGAGATTTGAGCTCAATGTTTCAGTGAACAGATTTATACTTACAGCAGCTAATATATGTTTCCTCATTAAATATATATATATATATATCGCATTTGGTTTTTCAGGGAAAAGATTCCCAAATTCTTGTGTTCAATAACCCAGAAATCTTACAGCCCTTGAATAAATATAGTGAGTGAAAGATCAACAACAGAAGAGAAAAAAGAAAACCCAATTAAATAAAACCAGAAATCCAAATCCATATATATTAAAACCCTAGAAATCTCCAAAGCCAGAAATCCATACCCTAGATTTCGGAAGCTCGAGAGCCGGTCGATCGAGAAGGAGAGAGAATGGGAGAGAGAGATAGCAGTGTTTCAGTGCGTGCGTGTATGGTTCGTCTGTGGTGTGGCCGAGATAGGGTATGGTGTGGTGTGGTGGCTGGCCGGAGTCGAGATTCAGAGAATGTGGGCGGAGGAGAGGCAGAGTCGAGACTGAGAGAGATGAGATGGAGTTGAGAGGGTTCGAGCGTGTCTGCGAGAGAAGAGAATGATGACAGACTGAGAGACGAAAAGAGAGCACAGAAAATACGATAGGAAACTGCATGAATTTAACAGAATAAATAAATAATATCAAGTGGTGAAAGAAATATAATATATTTAAATTAATGCGATTCTTTTTTGTTTAGTGTGAAAATCCATTTATGTTTTGTATTAGAACGAAAAAGTTAAGGGAAATGACGGAAAGCAAAATTATTTTTGCTACTTTTTATTTAAGTTTGACAATGAGTGATTATATCATGTCAAATTTAAAAATAAAATAAACCTCTTCCTCCCTCCCTACTTTAGATTCTCTCTCTCTCTTCCTTTCTGCTTCAATTTTAAATGCAAAGTAAAATATTTCGCACACATTTTATGTGTGGGCATGTACTAGTGTGTGTGTATAAAGCATGTGTCTATTTTTTAAGTTGCATCTCATAAATTATTCTTATAAAATATTAGTCAAATCGGAAATATTTGAGGCATCTAATTGAATTCAAATAAATTGATGAACACTTTATTTTTTAAGAAATATTGAAATTTTATCGTTATAATTAAATAGACAAACTATTTTGGATTGAATACAAGAATGATATATGAATTGAAACTTACAAAATAAACTATTCATATCATTGAAGTTCAATATAGAGTGGATTCTACAATTAATCTTGATTTTTATTTTGGTTCGGATTAACAAAGTAAACCATTTGTGAGGGAGGCAGATTGTCTGCCCTCTTGTTATGGTGCCCTTCTATTTGTGCTGTCACGGTTAAATCATGTCAACATTTTATATTCTTATTGCTTTTTGTCTTATTATCTCTATAAAAATTAATATAAAATATTGATATGATTTAAATGTGACCGTATAAAATAGGAGGATACAGGAAGAGCACCATATTAGGAGGGCAGACAATCTGCCTACATTTAGACCAATTTCCGTACAGAATCCGGACGGCTTAAGAAATAAGCTATTTTTTTTTCCACCCCGCCCGAGGACGCGCTTGGCACGCGGTTGTTGTGGAAAATTGGCCAAAGGAAAACAGTTCTTGCCACGTTGCGGGGTTTTGCTGAGATTTGAGATTTGTTGTAATATGTGCATAAATAAGACCAAAATTATTATCAATATTTTTTTTCTTTTTAATAAACAATATGAAAAGTAGATTAAGTCTTATGTGATTTAAATTTGTTTATGACAGCATTTGAATTAAAAAAATTTCACGTATAAGTGAAATAAATAATCACTAAACCGTGATGTTAATCACTAATAAATCTTTTTTAAATAAAATAATAACTTAGAAGAGGTGTTTTTTGGTCAAAATAAGAAAGAGGGGCTATGGCCATATCTTGTCTCCTATTTGGTAAAAAGAGAAACGACCATTTTGACCATATTAACAAAACTAAGGTAAAAGTTATGGGTAAAACACACACAAAACAATTTTGTTTTGTTTTTTCTCTCCCTCCTTTCTACAACTTCCAACCAGTTAAAAACAAATCACTAGTTCACTACTTTCGTTAAAAAATAAAGGGGTTTTTTGATATGAGTCTAAAGTAACTAAAAATTTAACTTATTTCAAAAGTCAAAAGTTACTAAAAATTGGACCTATTTCAAAATGTGACCTATTTCAAATTTTCCCAAAAATAAAAACATATATTTCTCTCACACACAAAGTGTGTGGCTTTTGCTAGTATATTATTGCACAAAACATGTTTGGCCACTCAATGATGAGTAAGAACTCTTACTCAAAATTTTTTGTGTTTGAATCACAAAGTTTTGTGTTTATGATTAGAACCGATTATATTATGAATCACTTTGTAAATATCATCGCTGCAAAAAAATGTATTAAATTTGAGGTCGTTTAGTTAATTTATTTTAGCAAATACAAAGACAGCTCGTAATATTTTTACTAATTCTGTTAATTTATTTTTGTACATTTTGATGATTAAACGACTTTATATTTAATTGATTTTTTGTAGAGGCAATATTTATGTAGTGTTTTATAATATGAGTAATTTTGATTATAAACACAAAATATAACCTGAAAACAAATAATTTTGAATAGGAACTTCTACTCATCATTTGAGTAACCAATGATTGTTCTTCTACTAAAGCATTCAACAACACATTATGTTACCTAATTTTTCCCAGTGACCACTAACCAAACGCCATTGTTTATATTTTTGTTCTTGGGTCGTCAAGTAAATAACAAAGTTTCCCATTCTATTCTTTGTAAAAGTAAAATGAATAGACGGTTGGACAAACACGTTGTAATAATTTTCATTCGTTGGAACATCAGGTGTCATTTGTGACCGAAATGTGGAAAAAATTCTCATCGCAGAGAGGAGATCATCTCTTTGCCACGTGGTAGGCAGATGTTGTTAGGGATGGGCAACTGTTATGACAGACGGATAACCACGGTTATTTACTCATAACTATTTATAAACGGTTAAGCACACCCATAACTCTACACGCATTTAACCATAACCGTTTACCCATCTTATTTACGCCTCTTTTCACTTGTCTACGTGTTTTTTAATAACATGAAAATTAAAAAAGAAAAAAATTTTCATAACTGACAAGGAAAATCTAGTATATAAATTGGATTAGAGCGTGAGAAATTAAACTTTCATTTCAATTGGGCATGAGGCTCTAACCAAGAATAATAAAATATTAACAAAAACGAATCTAAAGTAGTTTTGCTGAGAATCGAAGGGCATTGAAGGAGGAAGAAGATTAAGAAGAAGAAGGGAGGAATTTGCAGAGAGTTTTCCTTCATTTCATTTGCAGTCATAATCTTGCTGAGTTTGCATCTTTGTAAAGTCAACACCAGGCATCCAAAATCACCATTTCTGATTAAAAATCAAACAATATCCTAAAAAATTGAATTCAGTCATCACCAACCCATAAAAATTACCTTGGTGTTTTTGCTGGCCTGAGGTGAAAAAGATCTACCTTTAATTCGGACTGCGAAAATTATTAGGAAACTATTATTGACACTCTAAAAATCTCATTCTACACTCCAAACTTTCTATATTTGGAAAGAAAAATACACGTGTGAGGAATGTAGAATGAAATTTTTAGAGTGCCAATAACATTTCTCAATTATAAAGTACGGTAATTTATAAATACGTTGGAATTTAACGGGAGGATGTGATCCACTTAAAAGGCAATGTCGTATGACTCTTCGAACTACCATTGGCTGCTGTGAAAGAGTTGTATTGCTGCAGTAGTTTTTGACAAAACAGAAAATAATACCGGGCCAGAATTAAGTTGCAGTGGAAGAAGAGCATTCAAATTTACTTGAACTACATAACTCAACTGGTTAAAAGCGTTTACTTTAAACTTGCAGTCCTGTGTTCGAATTCACCCTCGCTAATATCGCTTGTATCCAAAATCAACATGTGATCTGATGAACAGCAAGCATTCTGGTCGATCGAATCCCAGGTTGATAAAAACCTAAGAACCAAACTAGTAAATTAGAAGGGACATGGGGGGAGCAGCATGCGAAGAGAGTAAGAATTTGCTACACCCTTGATATACAGAGTCAACTATTACATTGTAGAGATGGCAGACATGGTTTATTTACTGTATTTAGTATTTACAGATTAACGGATATACAGCGCGAGCGGAGAAATTTCTGGGCGGATGCAGTATGATGATACAGAGAAGATGAGGAACAACCAAATGGGAACGTAAAACCAAATGGGAATGTATAATCTGCGCTGCCGATGTGAGAGTTCAACGTGTGAGCTCACCATCAGTGCCGAAGTTGTTCTTTGGAGGTGTGCTGAAAGGAATTTGAAGGCCCCAACAGAACCCCACGAAAGAGCTGCGAGAACGCAACAGATTAGCCACTGCAGTGCATTCAACCTCACACAGCTGGCTAGTCCTTTTCCAAACTCAACAATGATCACCTGGATGATCAAAACAGCCGCCAACGCCATCAGAAACCAATGGCTTCGGAGGACAACTTGTAGCACTTCCTTTTTTACTATGTCCATGCATGGTACTGAACATATTAAGGACCTGGCATAAGGTGAAAGTATTGAAAATCATGGTATTCCGGACGCCTTCGTTCATGCTCGGTACTATGTTTCCCATGCAATGTAAGATCAGCAAGACGGAAGCCTGATACGAAACTTGAACTGCTATGTTTCTCCAGATGACTTTGGTTATAAGCGACTCAGTCCTCTTCGCAGGTCTTTGAGTGTGTCGTTCGGTGCCTTGTAACTCCATCGCCATCATTGGGCCACCAAGAAGACACATTATCAAGTTCACCCAAATCAAGTGAACTGCTGTTAGCGGGGACTCTCCCAAATGCATCGTTGCGACTAGGGTTACTAGTAACCCCGATATGCAAGCGGTGAGCTGAAGTTGAGTGAACTGCTGAATGTTGTGGTAAGCACAAGCACCAGACCTCATATTCATCCTCAAGAAACATCCGTTTCTGATTATAAGATCGGCGTTCTCTCTGGCCATCTCGGTGCTCCAGAGATCCTCAACAATTCCTATATCAGCTTCTTTTAAGGTCAAAGTGTCACTGATGGTTAGCCCTCCATAGAATGCAACTATGTGACCTTTTTTCTTTAACCTCTCCACCATGAGAAACTTGTCCTTGGGGAGGGAACTTCCCATCACAGAGATCAAATCCACCTTATCCAGCTTTTCCATGGAATTGAGCCTTCGGAAAGCTTGACCTTCAATCTCCGTGTCATCTGAGCCAGGGGAGATCCCAAGCTCCGAAGCTCTAGCTCTCACTTTCGAGAGCTCATCCTCCGACACCAGTTTGATGCTCACTCCAGCTTTTCTAAGAGCCTCCACTGCCAATTTAAGCTCTTCTTGATATGGACATCTAAGACCGACAAGTGCCAACAAAATCAACCCATCTTCTGTAGGATCTTCGGCTTCTGTTTTCTTGTACGCGTATGCAATCGGTGTAAGACCCTTCTTCTCCATTTTCTTGATCACCTCTTCAAATTTTCTCTTCTGGTTTCCAATATTGTGACTTTCCCCTCTGTTATCAAAGTAATGTGAACACATGCCTAATATTGTTGATGCTTCTCCGTCGCAGTGAAGTTGCATAATCTGCTCATCATTCTCGATTTTCCTCACTAAGACCCCTCTATATTTCTCATTAGAGTTCCATTGTCTCTGCTCAACAGTTGCAAATCTTCGATCAACTAACGCGGCGTTACTACCCCATCTGGTGTTCAGCCAAGAAATGAGCCGATCATTTGCTGGTGATGCAGTAGCTGAAATCCCCTGATGGAGAGCCTCAAGAACTTGGTCAGTTTCCGAGTCCACTTCACCACTGCTTAAATCCTTTTCACCGATCCAAAATTCCTTGACCTCCGTCTGGTTGCACATTAGATCTGCCGTTGTTTCAATGCAGATGACTGTTATGAGTCCCATGGTGACAGAAGCTGATAGATCCTGTGGATCTGCCTGATTTTCGGCCGCCTTCTCCTTCCATTGAAAAAGGGCAACTGTAATTACAACATGCATCCCATGCTGTATCCCTATTACCACAGTTGCAAGAACGCTTGCTAAGATGGAAACCTTTCCTTGAGGTTTCAAGAAGATATTCTCAAAGATCCTCATCACAAAATTCATTGAAACTTCACCTTTCAGGTCTGGCCTCTCGTTGTAGTTTTCGTACTTCTTGAAGAATAGAAGGCGTATCAACATCACAAGCGCAATCAGTATCGAGACACAACATGCAAGAAAATCCATACAAGCATTCGATTTGTCCATCAAAGCTTGTAGCAGTGTCTTTTCCAATGGATTACGATCAGACACCAAGCTCAGCATCTCGGCAATAGCTGTATTAGCACCAACTGATGTCACAATCATGCGGCCGCGGCCCTTAACAACCTTTGAACCCGAAAAAACAAATGGATTTTGCTCACAATCAATTTTCGGGCTCAATACCTCATCCACCACCAGTTCCTCACCCTGATCTATGAATAAACCGTCAACAAGAACACGGTCTCCTTCCTTCAAATGAACTATATCACCCACCACAACGCCAGATATGGTAATCGGTGTAGGTTCTGTGCTACTTCTTTCAACATTCACCATCAGTTTGCTCCTATCCAGCAAGTGCTTCTGCACCGACTTTCTCTGATTGCGGTAGTTCTGCACCGTAGGGAAAGCAATAAGTAAGAACGCGGTGATGAGTATGGCAACACCGTCGTGCCAGCCATCCTTGACTCCTTGCTTCATGAATTCGATGGCGAATGAAAACCCAGCTGAGAGAAAGAAGAAAAAAATCGTGTACCGATTGCACGCCTCAAACAAAAAGTACAAGAAACCTTTTGCTTCAACTGGGGACTTGGTAATGTTCCATCCTTCTGGATTTTGACCACCATCAACGGCACCTTCCTGAGATTAAATACTCGAATATAATCAACTGAAGTACAATCATTCTCGATCAAGTACAAGATTATGGAAAAAGTGGTTATTTTCTACTGGGTTGCATGCTACCTCAAAGTGAGACCTGAGAAGTGGCAAGATGCGCTCAACACCACCATGTCCGTGGAGTGAGTTCAAGTCCTTCTCTCTCACAATTCGAGCAACCTTGTTCGAAAACCGTTCCTGGAGAGGGATGTCAATCACATGGTCAGTGGCTGGTGGCGCTGGTGCTGCTGCTAAAGGTTCATAACTAGCTTCACGCAGACGTCTCGTTTTCTTAATGCGTGATGAGAACAAAATGCCTAGAACAACATATCTCAGCGAGGTTCCCCTGCGTCCGATGGTCTGCATAATCAAGCCGGCAGTAAGAGAGGCACCTTCAGCAGCTTGATCCTCCGTATTTATCTCGAGGGCCATGTTTCCTTGTGCCACAAGAAAATTAGAGAGATGATCCGACAAGAAATTAAGAAAATTTGATCTCTTGCCGCGGATTTGCAGCGAATGAGACGTTTAAGACAAGATTGGTAAGACTTTTTCCGCCATGTTAGATCTTGAGAAAATGAGTACGTACGAAATTAGACTCCTCCTAAACTGGTTGTGAGTAACGGGCATAGCTAGCTCGCAGTACTAGCACGAGATCATGACTGATCCTGCTACCAGGGACAAAAACTAACTACGAAATTGTACTGAAAGCGATTTAGTGAGAGGGAGAGGGGAGGGGGGGAGGGTTGGAAACAGGACATTGGGTGCAAGGGTAAGCGCTCTTAACAACTCGAGCTACAATGACTATGACTGCAATGCAAAGTTAGCTAGTGATCAAAGAAGGGTGGGGACTTGTGCTGTTGTGAATGTGAGGTGGAGGGTTTCAGTCTTATTTATACAGGCGATGGCCCGGGTGAATTGACAGCAATACCCTCCTGCAAGGGAAGCTTCTAGGAAGCCAGACTCTAAATTACCTGGAAAATTCATCTACTTAGTTTTTATAAACTTAAATCTGATGTCATAGGAGGCTTACGTATGTCTTTTTAATTTATTCCTATTTATGAATCATGATATATTACGGATACAGTGATCGATACGACACAACACGGTGATATGTAAAATCTCTGAAAACTAAGTATAATATGTCATGGATGTAACAGTAAAATTGTGTAATTCAAAACATATTTTAACATGAAAGCATCCAAATTCAAGTTAATTCAAGTGTGAGAGTTATATCACTTGTTTCAATTAGAGGCAAGCTCTTTGTATTCATCAACTTTCAACTAAATCTTTGTTTCCATTAATTTTCCCCCTTAATTTCTCATCAAAAAGTGTAACGGTATTCTAAAAGCCGAATATTGGTATCTGATAAGTATCCTATCCAACGAAGTATTGGATACGGATACGCAACCAAACTACTGTATTCATGTTTCATAGATTTCTATTCGTGCTATATATACATAAAAGGTTTGTAACTCAAGTAGTTAAGAGCGTTTATTATATAATTTAAGTCTGATATTAAGGGTAATGCTTATTTCTCTATGTTTTGTTTAGTAGTAAACGTTGTGATGGGAGTAGTGGTAGTTCGCCCTTGAGGACGCGTTTGGGACGCGGTAGCTGTGGAAAATTGGCAAACGGGGAGAGTCGTTCCATCTTCCATGCGCTCAAAACTCAGAAATACAAATGGATGCGTTGACAATTCTTGCCACATTGTGGGATTTTGCTCAGATTTGACGTTGTTTTTCTTGTAAAATATGTTCATGAATAATGCCAAAATTATTATTCTCACTTCATTTGATAAATCTTAAAAAAAGTTAAAAAAATAGAGAATCTAAGAGGAGGTTAGGAACGAGATTAAAAACAATTATTTTGCGTTAGATAAGTGATTTAGAATTTGTGAGATAAAACCCCACATGATGCTCGAAATGGGTTCCGGCCATGTATATTATATGGTAACATATAAATTAGTTGATTCATTTGCAATTTTTTTTTAAAATAAATGATTAATTAAAAAAACGATTTTAATTATGAAATTATCTAAAATTAGATTAAAATGGACGAGTATTTTTGTGTTTTTAAGGTCTTCCATGTTCAGTTGGGAATATTAAGAAGTCAATATGAATCTTTGATTTGCTTACGCTTATTTGCTACCCTCGTTTAAACTTTAAAGTATTGAACCGGCCATGTTTTTGTTTTTCTTTTAAAGTAATGCTATGAAAATTAAATTTGTAGATTAAATTTTGTAAACTAAATGACATAAAAGTTGATGATTGGATTATTACTTAATCGTTGATAAAGATACTCATTTTTTATTGGTGACACCTCATTTAGTTTGCTAATTTAGTTTACAAATTTAGTCTCCCTAACATTACTTTTTCTTTTACGGTGGAAAAACAAAATTTATCACCAACAACACAAACTTACCAACCAAAAGTTGAGGCAAAGCAAAAAGAAGATAAAAAAACCGAGAATTCCATTGCAACCACCCCCGCAACAATACATCTCGACCCGCACAATTCCACACCCGCATCCGAGCATCGCCTCGCCGATCGCATCATCCAACACCAATCATCTCTCCGAGCACAACCAAAAAGTGAAGAGAACCAGCGACCAAATGAAAGAAGCCCGTGGGATTCCACGACCAACACTGCAAACAAAGACAGACAGAGAGAAGTCGGTGGTGTTAGGAACATCTGAGTCAGTGGAAACACCGGAGCTCTACTCACCATCTCGATGGACCGCATGACTGTGTTTGTGTAGTGAGATAAGAAAACTATACATTTGAAACCGTGGTTCTGTAGTTCAAACCAATCGAGCTTTGTGGTCCCAAAAAAAACCTAAATGAATCAAAGATTAGAATCATAATTCTTGAATTTTCTAAATCTTTTGCTAATTTCTTTGTGTCAAGTACTGGTATCGATCTACGAATGTACGTGTGTGGGTTTTGTTACGTTTAGAGTTCATTTTCCTAGTGAACCCCTCGTCCTCGCATTTGAATTTCTTCACCCAGATCGGGAGGTGAAGGCAGTCATTATGACTGAGAAATCCATCGCCTAGTTGAGGCCAAGACTGTTGAGTTCGTGAGCAATCGTACAATTTGCAAATTTGTATTGTGCATTTTGGGGCAGAATGTTGCCTTCCTCCCTTATACAATAACAAATGCACTTACAAAGATTTTTTTAACTACTTGTATGTTTGTGAATTAATAGACGAGGACTCAGAGTTGAGACTGAAATAGAAGGGCGAGGTAGCCTCATCAGCTGTAAGCTGAGGCGCTCCGCTGTTTATCCTGCCGGCCCTGGACTATTATGTGCATTGTTAATAATAATAGAGAAACATCCAAAAACCAGATAAAACAGGGATGGGCAGAGAATAAATGCACAAAAATTCTTGAGCGGTTAGATATTTTGAGCGTTTAGACAGCTAGATTATCACTTTTGCATTTTTAAATGAGGAGATTTAAAATAACAATAATTAAAGACAGGGTAATATGAAGATACCTCCTTTTCCTGGCTTTCTCCACCGCGGCCTCACTTCGGTATCGGATTCCAAGCTCACTCCACCTCCGTTCTCTTCCTTCGGCAGCTCAAGGTCAGCTTCCTCTCGCACCTATTTTGTCTTGATTTTACCGATTTTCTGTTTGTTTCTCGGGAAAATGTGTGTTCATTTTGCTCTTGTTATTGTTAAAATCAGCAACGAAACGGTTGGGTGACAATTGGAGAAGATGAACAAATTACTCCGCAGCAATCGGCAATGTGCCTCAAGGTTTTCGACCTGGATAGGATGCAGTCCGACGGCATGAGCTCAAGCGTAACGAGCCCTGATTGCGTTGGAATCTTGAGGATATTCATTATTCACCAACCAATTTCCTGAAGCAAAGGTAGTCTCTTTGCGCATCGATTGAATTTGTGAACCCCCGAATTTGATAGAAACGATAGGGTATTGGATCGAGTCGTTTTCTTTATTTACTTTATTGTGACTTTTATAAAGTTGATGGGCTTGGATCTTGTTCGGCTTTCAAAGTAGAAAATAAATTTTTAGGGTGATTTTGTTTTTGTGGATACCTTTTGTGTGTCCTTACAGATGAAAAAAAAATAGCAGCAGCACTTTCAACATTTATGACCTGAATAACTGTTTAAATTGCTCACAGCCTATTGGTTAAAGACACATGCTTTGAGAATGGGGTAACATAATCCTTAACATGGCTGACAAATCACCTTTGTGCGTTGGGACAAGGATATGGAGAGCAAGTTGTTTCCTGGAAATATTGCGCAAAATGTATAATCGCTCAAGAACTCAACACATCTTCCTTGGGCAGCTCAAGGTCAGCCTCCTCTGGCAACTGTTTCGTGTTGATTTGATAAACTTTCTGTTTGTTTCTCGGGAAAGAGTGTTAAATTTGCTCTTGTTAATGTTAAAATCAGCAACGAAACGATTTGGTGACAATTGGAGAAGATGAACAAACTACCTGCGAAAACTGATCACCGTGATTCATACTAATCGACTGTGTTACTCCATAGGCACATGAGTTGTTCCTGTTCACCCGATTCCAATCGTAAAGTTAGCATCTTTACTGATGCAAATAATTATATAACAGTCCATCACCAATATAAAATCTATGGCTATGATACCGCTACACCGTAATATTAAACGGAAAACTATCATATTTTCTAAATTGAAGGGGGCAAATATTGGCTATATTTGATGAAAACTCATTAAAATTCTATTTAGATGAAAATTACAGGTTCTTCCTCTTGGGGTGGTGGTGGATGGGCGATGGCGGCTCAGCTGCTGTAGTGAAGGCAACAAGCTTTCAAATTTAGGGCTTCTGTTGTTGTGGACTTGCTCTTTTTAAACTTTTCGTTGTATTTTTATTTGGACTATGCTTGTAGTCGGACTGCCTTTGGGCTAGTTTTGATGGCCAAACCCTATTCGTGAGAAGGAAAAACACATAAGACCATATCTAATGGTTAGGTTAAAAATCAAATATTTTAGTCCGAAAAATTTAACTTTTAGTTCAGAAATAGCTTTTCTGCTCCAACCGTTCTAGCCTAAAATTTTAGCCCGGAATTATTAAAGAATGAACTTAGGCTATTTTTTTTGTTAATTTTTTTTTAAAAAATAAATAAATATGTAGATTATCGTAAATTAATTTTATGAACATTTTAATTTAAAAAAATTTTAATTCCGATAAATATTGGGTGGAGTTCACTTTGATTTTTGGGCTAAATTTTGGGAGGAATTTGACATTGGTTTAACATTTAGCATTTAGCATTTAGGTCAAATTTTCCCCTTATATTGGATTGGGTTTGGAAGGAAAATTTAGAAGGTAATTTGATTTTTAGTCCATTATTGAAGTTGGTCTAAAGAAAGACTTGAAGTTGGAGTGCTCTTGGAAAGCTCGTTGTAGGTCCACATTGGATTAAGTGCAAATGACCCAATAACTGGGGAGATGGGTTGGGTTCATTGAATTACATGAGAAATGGGTTGGCTGGTTGGGTATACACTAAAACTATTTTATCATATATTTATGGAAATCCTAATATTTAATATACGAGTGACTGGCTTGAAATATTATTAATTTGATTGAAATTAACTTAACCGCTCTATGAAATGTGCATATAATAATTCTTAAACACATTCATGTATTTATACTTCATTTAAATGATTATTTAAAATTATGTACACGTTACACCAAATTCACAGAATTTCAAATACAACATAGACCTTTGATATTTTCACTCATTATTGCATTAGAATTAAGAAGAAAAATACAATTACACCTTAACCCGT